CTGGGGTAAGTGCCATCACAAAATACTCAAGTGTTTTGTGCTTCATTTGAGTTTGACACACCACTTGAGATATGGTCAAAAACTGGGCAACACTCCTTTATGCGTGACTAGAAAAATCTTTGTGAGGTTGACCAGTTTTAGACATTATTTCCTCAGGCCAGTATGACCTGAGACAATTATCAGTGTAACTCCGCACACATTAAGTCAACAAAGCTTTCAATTGGTCTTTACATTACACTTCTGTTTGTACTATTATGATCGTTGCTGGGAACTGGTTTTACCCGTCTGAAGAGATGTTTGCAGAAAGGGTTTATAAAATTCAGTGCTAGGATTCGGTTACACAAGCTTCACTTTCTCTGCAAGCAACAGGCTCTTTCTAATAATGTACCACAGTTATAGCTGTACTATTTGCACACAGCACTCCAAATTAGTTTTGAGTTGTAGAATTGACACAATTAATTAAATGTTAATTGCTTCAAAGTTTATTTCTTCCACTTTTTATTATATTCCATATAAGCATAAACACTGTGTTACATACTGTAGTATCTGACTTTACATCATTCACATAACTTGTTTTTGACACAGCAAAGCAACCGATAAGATTGAGTTACTCGGTTTGATATGTATCTAAAAGATATGGCAAGTGGTAGTTGGTGAATAGTGTTAAATTTCTCACTTCTGAAGGGAGACCTATGGCTGAAAAATTCCATTATTAAAAAAACAGTAAAAAATAATGCTGAAAACCCAGAAGTGCAGACAATGGACAGAGGGGAGGTGTGGTTATACAGTATGTCCCTGAAATCACCGGGTTTGTGGAGACTGAGGTCTGAGTGAGAGCTGAAAACCCAGCCTGCATAGGACAAGTGAAGTCAGGTATCTAGAAATTACAACAGGACAGTAGTATGAACAGCTCTGTTCAAGCAGGATCTACAATCAGCTGGATACTAAAACAGAATCGATAAAAACGCACCGCTCCAATAGCTTTTAAATTCTGTATCTTCTATTTTAACTAAAAAGTTAGTCAAGGCCAGAGAACAGAGAGCAGACAGACCAAGAACAAACAGAGTGATGTCTTTTGTGACGATCTCCAGCCATGACTTCCTTTTTAGTTCAAATAAAAGATAAATAATATGTCGCAGTTAAATAAATAAAGGAATTAAGGAGGAGAATGCCAGAAGAATTCAGTTCCAGAATTACACAAAACTGGCTTTCCAGGATTGTGCCACAGCTGCATTCGAGTAAGTAAACCCACTTGACCATTCTTTCCTCCTATTTGTTTAAAAAGGGGAACAGCAACACTATTTTTATATTTCAAATTAGAAACAATCAGCACTGAAGAGTGCATTTCAAACCACAATGAAAGTAAAATGTACACAGAAAATGTGTAAAACCTCCAATTTGCATCACAAAATACACTGAATTTCCAGGTATGTGCAAAGCCATATTCTGAGATTCAGAATGAGGCAACAAAACTTCCGGTGATGTGTTGCGGCCTTATTACATTGTAAACAAGCAGGTTTGTGAATACATCTCTTTTTCCCCGACAGAACTCTGCCTGCAGATAATGTTGGGACACTTCAGCCGTGAAATACCTGCTGCACAACCTGTACTTAATCGCTCATACATCGCATAACATCAGTCATTTCAGTGAGTAGTGAGCAGGAAGGGCCACATTCGTGGCTATTCGTGGGAACTCAAATGTGAGTTTGCGACAACATGGCGACTTACAGTACTTTCACAAAGTTGATTATTTTGTACTTAATTCGAAATGTGTAAAATTTTTCTTTAATGTCAATGAATTCATTTTGTTACCGAGATTTAATTACCGGACTGAGAAAGTGGGACTGCAGTACGCCTGTAAAACTTAAGCTTCAGGGGTTTCACAGGGCATTTCACTGACTTGAAGGGTTCACTGTTCATTCCCAAAAGTGGTATGACTTAAAGCAACTCCCATTAAAAAAAAGGACACAGCTAGAACACTTTAGTCTCGCATTCTTACCTGAACCAACCAGATGCCATCTTTGGTGTCCTCTACAAGCTCATAGAAATGCATCTCTCCACTAAAAGAGGTGCTGGAGACTGGATCCGAGGCCTCCTCCTCACTCTTCAGAGCTGAATACAGCTCGCCCTCCATGAGATCACCTGCAGGCAGAAATAGTAGTGCTGAATGAAGAAAAAACAGACATGTACATCTGACTAGGCAATAAAACAGATCTGTTGTGGGACATACATGGATATTTGATATGTTACTCACTAAATATATGTCAGTACTGGGGTATGATGGAAATTTTTCTGTTAAGTTCAGCATTTTTCCTTGCTTTCTCAAGAACAAAAAAAAATGTCTGTTGGCAGAGTTTAGTTTAAACACCAACCTAATGAATGAGCTCTTTGAACCCAGAAGTTTAAAGTTAAAAACATATGCAAATGGATGGATTCAAAACCTTCATTTTAGGAGAGGGTCAGCATAAACCACCTGTTGTAATGCATTTTCAAGATAGTTTTTTTAAAAGAGATTCCTGGTAGTTGTGAAAGGGTTATAAAACATCACTTTTAGGGCACAGAATGTATATTGTTTGATTCAGTGAAAAGGAATTCACCACCGTTCCTTATCGGTACTTTGGAAACGTTTAATATAGATGGAAAAGAAAATGATATCTATCGAGGGGGAAAAAATTACAACAATTTGAAATGTGTTCAGGAATTTCTGGATGAACAATCACGGACTTGACCACTGCTGTCCAGTCTTTAAAAGATCAAAAGGGGTTAATGAAGCGGTGGTCAATAAGCCATTCAACTCCCGCAGATACAACGTGTAGCGTAAATACCAAAATATTCTGTTCTGTTTTAGATTCTAGGCGTTAGTCGCATTATACCAAAAGTTTCCTTTATTTCTGTGTAGCTGAATTAAACTGAAGACTCGCCCCTGTATTTTCTAGCTTCTTAGGTCGTGTGACAGATAACAAGCTTTAAAGCGTTCTCTTTTTCACTTGTCCGCAGAAAAAAAGTAGGGACCCTTTCCTGACCTCTAAGTATTAGAAATACCATAGGTTTGTGAACCCCCGTAAAAATAATATTTATGCACGAAAAAAATTTGGACATGAGACAACCGTTGATTTGTAAACTTAGTGCGAAATAGTGGAACACCTCAAATATCTTAGAAAAATAATCATATCACCTAGTTCGTTCTATTAAGACTAAAGTAATTCAAACGATATCTTTGAGAGAATGTTTGCAGCATGGGCTACAAAGGAAAGAATTCCCATAGCTTTTTTAACCATGCAGTTAATTTTTACAAACAAATATTACACAAATTAGCTCTTCTTGCCATTCTTTAGGTGTAAAAATAAACACAATAGAGACGTGTCGAATGAAGAGGACCCTTTGTGACGTTCTGGCTCCGACACAATGCTTTAGAACTTACCTGATTTCTCGACCAGCTCCCGGACATCCTTCTTCTCTGGGAGCCCGGAGTATCCCAGCCCTCTGCATTCCAGTATCGTCTTCAGCTTCTTAAAGCTCAGCGTCACAGGGTCCACCAGCTGAGTTGCAAAAATACCAGTTTCATACCACACGACAGCTTCGAAAAACCGTGCCAGAACGAATAAGACCAAAAAATACAACAGCAGAAAAAACAGCTTCAGCCACATTTTCCACCTCCTTGCTGCAACGGGAATATTTTTAAAACGCTGGCGCTACGATTTCCGGGTAGGAATAGGCGAGTAACCTACGTTGCATTTGGGGCTCGTCTATTTCTTCCTTAGACTTGCTTTCATTTGCAGGCTTCCCCTTTAGCGCTGGCTGAACTTGAAACTTTTAAAAAACAAAGAAGCAATCCACTCTCCACGATCAGCGAGCTAACAAGGCCCGTTAAGGCCAACTGTACAGTCTCTGGATGTCCACCATTTTCAGAAGTTGTCTTGTGTGGGGAAAAAAAAATCAAATACAGTGCGAAAGCTTAATTTACGCTCTCCCTAAAACAATAAGATGGTCAGCTTTTGCTGCTTATTCCAACCCTCCCAGCGTGCCAATTGTGAGCAAATTCATGACATGTAATGACGAGTTCAGATCACGGCATTTTTAGATAAGCGATAGTTGCCGTTGTCCCTACAGTTGCTGATGTTGGAGCGCCTTGCCTGCCAGATCAGCTGGCATGCATAACAACATGACGTCACCGACAGGAAGGACCGACGAGACTTGTTTCATTTTCTTCCAATGGAAAAGAAGCGAAGCTTTTGGATTCGTAATAAAATAAACCTTGTTTATATCACGCATTGGATTCCAGCATACTGTAAGAGTATAAACCGATTACACGGGCTGTGGTAATTTAAAACCGTTTTTAAACTTACCAAACTAAGAACCATGACCAAAATGTCTGGATACAATACATTTAATTGACTTTAGAAGATGTGTTTATTCTTTAAATATGGTTAGTAGAGTTGTGATGTAAACTGTAAGAATCCTGGAACAGAATTACTTTAATGTTAGCATATAAATTGAAAAGATCGCAGAACGTGGGTTTAGCAGCATTTAAAAGGTTTGTTTTAAAATGCACTGACATTTTCCAAGAATGGTATTTTAGAAAATATCTTCACAAAACAGCAGATCTGGTCTCACAGTAGAACAAACGCTTCTGTGTTGTGTAGCAGTGTCCATGTCAAACCCTCAGAACACCCACATGCTCAAACATACATGGCAGAGACACTGCAGCTTTCTATCCTGCCAATATACAGAATGTGTAATAGGCAAAATGAGGCAGAAATAGAAGCTGCAGTTGCTACATCAGCTTCTTACAATAGAGTAGGTATTAAAAGTGGCAATTAAACATGCTTTGTTTTTAGTCAAATAGATTTTGTGTACAACTAAGTGTTGGATAACTGATATCTTTTTGGAGCAAAGAATGTGAGTTTTCAATGAGCACTTTAAAAATATTGTTTATATTCCAGATGCTATACATGTTATTAAGACAGCTATTAAGTACCGAATGCTCTCGGAGGAAACTGCAGTTGAAATTGTGTGAGTCATTTGCACTAAGAATGTGATTTCCCTCTCCTTCTCTTGCAACTGTATAGAATTTTCATTTAAATTTCTTTCCAAACAGCATGTAGTTTGATAGGCAAAACTTCTCTGAAATTTAAAGCTCAGTTTTCTTATTGTATTAAATTATTAAATAGTCATATATGTAATGAGTTAATACACCGCATCCGTTGCAGAGACACAACAGTCATCATCAGTCAGGCACATACTTTTTATTGGGCTCTGCAGTAAGTAGTGCCTAAATAAATTAGTAATTGTCTTTTTTTTAAATGTTGTAACTGAAATACACATAGAAAAAAGTCTCAGCCATGGCATGGCTACATGGCTATCGTGTCTGTTATTAATAAAAAAATATAGCATTGTCCATCTCAGTCAATTCACTAGTGGGTGAAGACTTCCAAAAAAAAAACATTTTAGGAACTTGTATTTTCTACTATGTTTGCCCGACTTGTTCTGGTGATTTTCCTTCTTTACTATTTTCTTCTGTATTTACATACACATTACTGTGTAAAACTGTTCTATCCTTTTCATTTAGTGTTTTCCCTGCTTTATGCAGAAACAGAATTCAAGCTATCTTCTCTTGAATATACAGTATAGCCATTGCATTTTAAGATAAGTTCAATCTGATAGATCTGTATATTGCAATGCAAACATAGCCTGTAAGCTTATTGATGTATGGACAGAAATAAATAATAATAATACACTTTTATTTATAAAGCTCTTTTCCAAACCCAAGGACGTTGTACATCATGAATAAAGAAAAACAAATTAAAGTACAATAAAAAGTACACACAAAAATAAACAAGTGCATACAGGGCTTAACAGATGTAGTCAACCAGATGTAGACTTTGGTAAAAGGAAAGTTTTGAGTCGTTTCAAAGAGCTTTTTAAAAAGTTATCTTAAAAAAGTTGTAGAGTCTGAGAAAGGTCATTCCATAACACTGGAGCAGCAACAGAAAAGGTACAGTCACCAAAAGTCTTTGATTTAGTCCGGGGTAAAATGAGCAAAGGACCAGACCATTTAACTATTATTGTTAAATGATATTCCCACTAAGGAAAACCTCATTAAATTTATTAAATGTGTAGAATTAACTACTACAACACTTACCTGTATATGTGCTACTCATGTGGAAGTTACCTCAAGTTCTTCTATACTGGTGCTAGCTAATTCTCACCAATATGAATAAAATGACAAGCTTCTATTTGTTATACTACTACACAACACTTGTGGAGACTTTGAGTAAATTGTTAATTCTCACAACATGAGCCAGCAGCCATATCACCCTGCAACTCACAACTGGCAACCCACTGAAACTAAGCAGGTGTGAGCCTGGTCAGTACCTGGATAGGAGACCTCCTGGGAAAACTAAGGTTGCTGCTGGAAGAGGTGTTAGTGGGACCAGCAGGGGGTGCTCACCCTGTGATCCATGTGGGTCCTAATTCCCCAGTATAGTGATGGGGACACTATACTGTGAACAGGTGCCGTCCTTCGGATGAGATGTAAAACCAAGGTCCTGACTCTTTGTGGTCATTAAAAATCCCAGGGTGTTTCTTGAAAAGAGCAACCCTGGCGTCCTGGCCAAATTTCCCATTGGCCCTTACCATTCATAGCCCCCTCTATGAATTGGCTATATTGCTCTGCTCTCCTCCCCACTGATAGCTGATGTGTGGTGAGCTGCTGTCGCATCATCCAGGTGGATGCTGCACATGGATGAAGTGGTGGTGGTGTAAAGCGCTTTGAGTGGAGTGTCCAGAAAAGTGCTATATAAGTGTAATTATTATTATTAACACAGACTTTTGCACACTATTGTATATAACACATTACTTCCAAGTTTTCATTTACAAAATATTTAAGAGTCTTGACTTAGACGTGTATCACTGCACTTGTTAATTATTCATAAAATCTTGCTAAATCTAAGGTGTATATTTTTCACAAACTCTCATTTATAAATATAAAAAGCTTCACATCTTCTCTTTAATTTTCGTCCCCTTTCTCCAAAATAAGTACTAATTTGAAATATAATTGGCTAGTCAAACGTAAAATAATCATCAAAACATAACTTTAAACCAATGTGATCAAAATTCATATCAGTATGCACAAAGTGCAGAGCGCTATATGCATTCGGTGGCAGTTCTGGTTTAACCACATTCTCAGCGCAACTCTTCGCTGCGTCACTGATTTCAGAGTAGTTCGATAATATTACTGCCAAACAGTTAATAAAATGTGCGTGTAGGTCATTAATAAATGGATAAAAAATCTATATGACTACACACTGAATTGATGAAGGGAGCTATATTCAAAATGTCACACAAACTTCGATTTGTAAACATCATTACGAAGTTTCGTAAATTGGTAAACAAACACAAGCCACGGACCGAGCGGACTCGGGATGTCAAACGGAAGTTCCGCTACGCTCAGTCACGCGATTCGCTCGGTCCTGTCACGTGGTACAGCAGGGGACGTGATAACTGATAAAAATGTGCTGTGTTGCTTAAGAACAGCAGGTAACTAAAGCTTCTACAAATTCTACCTTATTCCTTTAGATATATTTTTGTATTTAGGTATATACTGAAAAATTGGTTATGTTTCGCGTGGTCCTAATATTTTCGGCACCCCCCTGTGTGCCAGCCTGTTGGTGTCGCCCTTGGAAATCGGGTCAATGTTCAGGTCCATTAAAAACAAAAACATTCTGCTTACGCCAAAGTTGAGGTGAAGGTGTTTTGGTTTTGATTTTTTTTTCGTGTGCGTGTTTGGCGCTGCGTGTCTTTCCCTTTCTTAAATTCTGATTGTATTTCTGTAGCGCAGACGAGCAGCGTCATGGATCAGTGTGTTAATGTGGAGCGGGAGCTGGAGAAAGTGCTGCAGAAATTCTCGAGCTACGGGCAGCACTGCGATAGGACACTGGAAGAGCTGATCGAGTACACCAGTGGCCTGAAACACGAGATAATACAGACTGGCGGTGAGTTTATATTTTGATGAGGGAAACGTGGAATGTCATCTTTGTGTTTATCGAGCTGTCGTGAGATCATCTTCCAGACCCATGAAAAATGGTCAGCCCGTTTTAGTTGTATGGGCGAAGGCCTACAGCCAGGTTAGGTGTGTAGAAAACTTCGATGTCCGATTGCTTTGTAAACGTGCCAGTTCCGCAGGATTGCGGTTTCGCACAGTTTCGTTTAGGCCTGTTTGTTTCTTGCCTCCGTGAGTAGTCACGTGTTTTCTGCGTTCACGATTTTGTCTGGTCTCAGTGCAGCAAAACACCCGGTACAGTAACTACAGTGTAGTACTGGTACTGTACATTGTGGCGGATATGATCCACTAGTTAACATTTTGAAAAGAAACCACGAAGCGCTGAAAACCCGATAGAAGTCAAAAGCGTGCTTATCATTTAAGTGTTTTTAAACTTGCCGTTTCTGTGTTTTGTATTGGAAGGTCCTGTGTAGTGATGGTTGTATGTGGCTTTCCTTAACTGTACTGATCGTTTCCATTCCTTCTGGTACAGGGGAAATAGTAGTGGCTCAATACTCGGTACAGACCTTAGGCTTCTTAATAAAGACGTTTAGTGCAAATGATCTTTTAGCGACACCCTTTTCATTTAACATGTGTTCGGGTGAGTTTGAAGAAAACGTTTTTTGGCGCAGGAGTCTACTATAACATATCACATGGTCGTGTTTTTAGAGCACGAAGAGCAAAGGTTTAGTACAGGAACGTACAAGCGCCACGTGGGAAAATACTTATTTCCCCAGACCTGTTGCTTTATTGCGTATCGGGAGGTTTTGTTTCCATAACGAATTGAAGAACGACGTTTTAATATGCTACATAATCGATCGCTATGCTACAGTTATACCTGGACTGCTATACGGCCATTTTTCATGGACATGCCGTGACATGTCATCCTTTTTGGTCCTTAAATCTCCAAGGAATTTTCAAATATCGTAAAACGTCCGGGATTTTTCCTTGTTCTTTTTCCCCAAAGGTTTTCGAAGCATAATGGTTCTTGGGATGAAAAGAGAGTGTTTATTATAGAGTTGTGGACGTGTCTAGCTTGGTACCCCGTTCAGTTTTAGTTCTGAACAGGAATTATTTTTTCGCAGCCCCTCAGCAACAATGTCTGTCTTATCTGACCCAGTACTATACAGCACTTTTTAAATTATATCTGTGATATTTTGTTTTGCTGTCCCTAAACACAAAACGAAGGTGTCCATTCCCTCAGAGCTAAAGACAAAATTCCCGAGTTTTCAAAGTGATGGAGAAGAATTATTTGAATAATTAAAGTTACCCGTTGATTTGTGAGGCTGTGTAACTTTTTTTATAATTCTGAAGATATCAATATAGAAACGTAGACGAATTGTGGTACTAACATATACAACACGTTATATAGCATGAATATAATTCCATTCAATAGATACAGGTTCAGATAACTATCTCTCCTTCCAAACAGAGTGTCCTCTTTGAATTTGAATCTTCAAATTTCAAAACGCCATCTTTAAATAAAATAAGCTTGGGCCAGGCAGTGGGTAATAGAGTCTCCTTTACAGTACCGCCCCCAAAAGCAAGTGTGCCTTCTCTTTGTCAAAAGGTCCAGACCTGCAGGGAAGGTCGACACATGGTGCCTTAAGCGAGTACACCTCTAGGCAGCATGAAAATCAGAATACCATCCATCCATTTTCTAACCCCTTTTTCCAGTTCAGGGTCATGGGGGAGCTAGAGCCTATCCCAGCAAGCAAGAAGCGCAACAGTCTCATCACAGGGCAGACACCCACACACACACACCCACACCCGGGCCAGTTTTCTCAGAAGCCGTTTAACCCACCAGTATGTCATTGGACTGTGGGAGGATTCCAGAATTTCCCCACACGAAAAAGCTTACAACAATGGAAAGGTCAAAACATAATTCTGGAGTAATCCTTTGCTACTGTTTTAAAATGACTTTTTAATTACTTTCTTTAAAATCTAAATAATATTTATGTAGAAGAAGAAAAAGGCTCCATGGCCGAAACATCGTGCTTTCTTTCTTCTTTTTTTCCAGCATGGAATAAACCTGTTGCTTGTTCCTTTGCATACTTCTGTAGTGTATACCTTATTGCCATTGCAAATGCTTTTTGTTTTGTGAAATAGTAGCATTTTCCATGTTGTGCATGCACATGTTGCAATCACGCATGCCTCTTTCTGGGGGATGGGAGGCACTGTATGAACCGCTCTGTCTGTTCCTAGAGCCACCCAGGGTTGGTTGCTTTAGGAACAGACAGAGATCAACAAAGGCAGCATGCCAGTGCTAATGGATGTCAACAGTATTTGTGCAAGAAACCTACTAATGTATTGTGTTTAAAGAAAATTCAGTGGGGAGTTCATCAGCGTGTGTTATCTGCAGAGGAAGAGTTAAAAGGTTAATCCCACGTTGAAAAGCAGAAAGAAGGAGCAACGTTTTGGCCTTGGAGCCATCTTGAAGTGTGAGGATACATGAAGAAGGCTCAGCAGCAGAGATGATTTTTAATTTTTTCCACTTTTCTGTAGAAGTTAACCTTTACTCAGCCACGTTTTGAGAGACACTGGTTCAGTTTGTTCAGAATAAAAAGCGTTTAGTATAAAGGTGCAAAGGGAGAAAATAATTTGACACACTACTACTATTTTGTTTTGATTTCCAATCCCACGGCACACATTTCAGATTCTTACAAAAGACATTACTGTGACACAGTGATGCACATCCTTTCAGATCAGATATCCTGCAGGTTCTGCATGATCTGCGTTTTTTATAATGTTTTATTTAGATTAAAACATTACAATTGTTGTGCACGTTTCTATTTTTTGTGGTCTGTAAAAAAACCTTGACGTTTGCTTAATATTAAAAGCTGTGCTTTTCAGGTATGTTTTGAGAGATTAAATTCTGTGGTAGGCAATGGCCTTAATGTATTGCACACAAACATTAAATAATCTTTCTTGTCATTTATTTCTCTGTGTTGTTAAGCCAGCTTTTGCTGTATTTGTTGCGTGTTTGTGATGTTGCACCTGCTTTTTCATTTGTTTCAACAAGTCTTTTTAGTTGCAAAATGAGATTGATCTGTCTTTTCATTACCATCTGTAATTAGAAAAGCATAATATAAAATCTTTATGTGGTTTACACCGTCATAGTATATAATGACAATAGCAAATCAGGCCTACTAACGCAATGTGTTTTTTTGCAATATCCTAATTGCTGTTGTTTAATGTAATATGGTCCCTTCATCTACTTTTCTGAACCCACGATATAACACAACTGTTGTTTGGTAAGTTAAAAAATGTTAGGAGTGAAAATGCAAGAAAAAACCATGCAGTTTTAAAGGCTGTGCAATGAGTAGTTTCTTACCTGTGGACTTGATAGGTGTATACAAAGGTTAGCCTGCTACTCATCTCACTGTGTTTGTTTTATTCTCCTCAGATCATGAATTGGAGTTATCAGGGACCCTGTCCCTGGTCCTGTCCCAGTGCTGTAAAAGGATAAAAGACACTGTTCAAAAGTTGGCCTCAGACCACAAGGACATTCACAGTAGTGTTTCCCGAGTAGGAAAGGCTATTGATAAGGTGAGTGTTTTTTTTTTCACATTTTGAAGTCCCCTCCTAGTTTGGAACTGTTAATATACTCAAACTATCATAGGAGTGACGAGGCCCTTGTATGCTTCTTTCTGAAATGTACAATTAAAGCTTCTAATTTTCAGTGCTTCGCTGTTTTCTTGGAATCCCGGTCACAGTCGACTAAAGGCAGTAATCTAGATTGGAGTGGTGGTGCCTGGACTGCAGAACTGCCTTTAATGGTTGGGCCGTTCCAGAATCTCCAGTCTCTGTTTTAAACTGCTGTTTTTTTCATTTTGTTTTGATAACTGCAGTCCTCCTGTTTTATTTATATTCAACAAAAATGATACACGTCGCCTTGTTATGTCTTCTCGTTCAGTTTGAGGAAGCCTCTTTCAAAAGCTGTTTTATCGAGAGACCTGGAAAACAGGGAAGGGTGCAACACAAGTCATTTTTTCTGCATGGAATACGAAACCTGACACATTTAAATTTAGGTTGAACAAATATGCCCTGACAATCGTAGATTGCGTGTGTCGTTAACGCTTATTGTGTAATTTGTGGTAGGTGTTTTTTATCTAATTTGTGGTTCTCGAATCTTTTGAATTAAAGGAAATCAGAGTAATAGTAATAAACTATCGAGCTCTGGGCACAGAGTGAAGTTGCACTAGTAAAAGAATAACCACTAGATGGCGCTGTCTGTCATTAGCCTTCTTGGGTGTTGTGCATGTCCAGCTCTTATGGATTTAATGTGTAGCCAATGTGCTTTTATATTTCTAAAATATTGGTTAAGTGCTTTGCATCCCTATGGCAGGACAGAGTTAGATACTTGATCAATCTTCCCCTTTTTTGCCAGACGTCGGCACTACTCTGCATAAGCATGCCATGAAGAGACACTCCCAGTACAAATAGAAGGATATATATGCATGGCTGCCTGAGCTTGGCAGTATTGATTCCTTGCTGATTTTAACTATTCAAAACCTGTCTAAAAAGCAAAGTATGGAGTTGACAGGGAGCTAACAACAAGACTGGAAATTTAGGCTGGAGGAAAGCAGCGATTGTTACAGAGGTAGTAGTGGGAAGGCCTCCAGGCACTCGACACTTTGAAGTCATTTTGAACCAACTGCAGCTGAAATTCTGGGCTGGTTATTTGCCAGGATCCACATAATGCCTGTCAGCTCATTTTCAATGTTTTTTTTTTTCCCGACATCAGAGTATTGATTTTTCTTTTCCGCGGTTTCTCCCACTTTATTTCCATAGAGATCTGACGCTCTTCCTTAACGTACTTTAGAAAAGACGAACACTAAATCATCATTGTACTGTGCCCTTTTTAAACCAAGCTGAAAAGACGGCCGTCAGCGTTTTTGTCATTTTAACAACTGAAGAAATCTAACAACGCTGTTGGAAAACTTTGGGTTTGTGATTTCTTCCAAGCTGCTGCACTATGTCCGAATTCGTGGATGTGAGGTTCTGTGGTGACTGGAAGTGAGAAATTCGGCTTTTAACATCATTACAAAAGATTTATACCACATAGATTCGTTTGTGTTCATATCGAGATTTCTAAAGATTATAACTGCGCTGCCCTCGGAGAGCTTTTGTACGTTTACTGGTATTTTGAGAAATCGTCTGGGGAAGACTGAGTGTGTTCGTGTCCTCCTCTTGGCGTCAGAATCTGGACTCGGATATCAGCAGCGTGGGCATCGAGGGCTGCTGGCAGTCGGAGAGCCAGAGGATCCTCAGCGAGGTCCTGGTGGAGCACTTCTTCAGGCAAGGCATGCTGGATGTGGCCGAGGAGCTGTGTCAGGTAGAAAAGGCCGTTGTTTTTGTCTCTTTCGTCTTTTTTTTTTGGCTCGCACGCTATCGCGCTTATGTCGGCACGCCACCCTTTTTTTTTCCCCCCATCCTTGCAGGCCTACGTTATGCAACCTCAAACCCATTTTCGTACACTCAGGATATTCGTTTCCGGCAACCAATAACAAGGTGAAGTTGACAAAATAAAAAGAGCACCGGTTGAACTCCAGTGGTATTGAACTGGCTGCTGTACTAGACCAGGTACAGTGGATTGGAGGAGCATTGCGTAGTGGCTTTTTAGTGGTTCTGTTCCATGGACTTCAGAACTGGCTCGGCCCATTCGGGCAGCAAGTCTGCCTCTCCGCAGTCTAGTGGAGAGCTGTCCTGCTCAGTGCTTTTGGTATTGCTATCCCTGGAGACCGCACTGACATGCTTTGCGAAACCACCCCAGTGCCTGATGTCTAGGGGGAGCCGCCATGCTGCCCATAAATTGCTGCATTGATACCCAGGAACCAAGAAGGAAAGCTAAGTTGGCTCTGTTGTTTCTGTAGGTAAGGAATGGTTCACCTCAGCTGAGAAACAGCAGTCCCTCCTGAGCAGGGGTAAGGGATGTGAAGTAGAGCTTGCAAAGCTTGAGCCATAATTGCCTAGTTTGGTAGTTCATAAATGTAGCTTCATCAGAGGCCACTCAAGAGGGTGAGATCTTGTGACACATTCGTTTCTTTATTAATACTATCATTTGTCTTTGCTTTATCTACCTAGCAGATAGTAACAGGGCACGAGGGTGGTTGATAAGTTGAGTATCCGGTTGTTTTGCTTTAACTTGCTTCCCTTTTTTAATCTCAAAGGTATGCAGTAGGCGTGCATCACAATTGTTCCTGCCATTGTTTCCGTAACTGTAAAATTCTTTTAGGACTGTAGTGTAAAAAGCAGGGATGTTTTTTTTTTGTGCAAAACTCTGTGAGGAATGCCCTCTGTTTCAGTGCTTTGACGCAGTCAATTGAAACTAACGCACAATTAAGCCTTAATATTATCTATAGTCTCTCTCCTTCAGTTCTGAAAATCCACCAGCTGTGAAAATGAACATACATAAACAGTTAAATAATAAAGTAAAGTGGGGTTGTTTATCAGAGACTGTTGAAAGGTTTATGGACTCAGATTGTAATCCTATGCCTATCTCTTCATTTTCAGGAAGCTGGACTTTGCATTGACCCAAGTCAAAAGGAACCTTTTGTAGAATTAAACAGAATCCTAGAAGCACTTAAACTCAGAGATTTAAGACCTGCATTAGAGTAAGCTTTACTGTTACTTATGCTCAATCCTTGTTCTATCCACTGTCAGATTAAATACACCTTCCATCATGTTAGGATTAAAAACTACTTGAGTATCATTCTGAGCATGTGTAAAATTAAATTTAATAACAAAGCAGTGTTACTCCTTTGTAACCAGGTGTCAGAAGCTAAGCTAAGTTTAAGCTCAGTTAGTACTGGAATGCAAGGTTTCTAAAGAAAATCAGGTTGCCGTAAGTGGTGTTGATAGATCAGAAGGTTTCACTCTTCCTTCTGGACCAGAATTTCCTAACCAGTTCCCCGATATAGAGGCTGGGAACACATTACTGTAGAAGGTAATGTCCTTTGGGTGAGTAGTCTGGACCTTGGTTTCACGACTGGTCATTGACAATCCTGTAGCACAGCTCAAAAGAGCAGAGGTATTAAATCAGGTCTCCTGGCTAGATTTTTCTTTGGGCTTCCAGGATCTAGCTCCTTAAATTCCCCCTTTAATCCATTAGGGGAAGCAATTACTTCTCTTCCTGACTGGGTGTTGGGTGGGGCTGCTACCTTATACTGGCTGCTGGGGAGTCTGCTGTGCTACTTAAGCGGATAAAGGGGGTCTCCATCTGTATGTGAACATGAACCACTTTGGGATCCCATGGGATGAAAAGCACAATGCAGATGCAAGTAACTATTAATCCATAGGAACTGATTCCAAGTATTGATTTGAGCACCACAGATGAAGTTCCAGATAGTCATTAAATACTGTGGCCGCAGACACATTTGTGTGGGGTTTTAGCACTGCCAGAAGTGATAGGCACCTCTTACCGATCTCATTCTCTTCCAGGTGGGCGGTGGATAACAGGGAAATGCTCATGGCACAGAACAGCTCGTTAGAATTCAAACTGCACAGATTGTACTTCATCAGCCTTTTAATGGGGGGCACAGTCAATCAGAAGGAGGCTCTGCAGTATGCAAAAAACTTCCAGCCCTTCGCTGTCAACCATCAGAAAGGTGTTCTTTTGTTTTTGGGCTGTTATATTATCTGGGTCTGACTGGGATTCCTTGTGTAGTGGGACATGATTTGCCAAGTGCCCCTGGTATTAGGTGGGTCAGAGCCAGACAGGGCATCCCCCTCTTGCTGTGCTATAGCAGCTAGGGCAGCTGTGAGCTCCCTCTGCCGCCAGTGTGATTTAGTATGTTATATAGCGCTATAGGTCCCAATGTGACCGGGAGTGTGACTTTCCCAGGGGGGGAAAATGGTTGATGCCCCTGACTGCATCTTTTGGAGGAAATCTTACGCTCCTTGTACCTCCTTAACTAGTATATTGTAAAGGTAGGCTGGGTCGATTTAAGATTCAGCCATTTTAAAATTGGGTGGAGGAGTCGAGAAAAGCAAATGGGACATTTCAAAAGGAATTAAAAAGCAAGCCACCAGTGTTCTGATTTTTCCTTCCCTTTGCGCAGACATCCAGGTGTTGATGGGCAGTTTAGTGTATTTGCGGCAGGGGATAGAGAACTCTCCTTACGTTCACTTGCTGGACTCCAATCAGTGGGCTGATATCTGTGACATTTTCACCAGAGACGCCTGCTCGCTGCTCGGCCTCTCAGTGGATTCCCCTCTCAGTGTCAGGTAGGAGAAGTCGAGAGAAAATGTATAGACTGCTGTTTATAGATGCATGCTCCTTGTTTAACTGGATGTTAGTTCTGTCAGTGGCACTGGTGAAGGTGTACCACAGCTTGTACTGCTTGCTGCTAACAGTTTAGCCATGATAAGCAGTAGTGTCATTGCCACAGTATCACAGGTAAATAGCCTCTTGTGGTAAATTTGGTCAGGAGTATATGATCAGTCCTACCTTTCTGCAGCCTGGTATTGAATATGATACTATCTAACTGTTTAGAGTTGGTTATAGTTCTGTCTCAACTTGACTGCCAGGGATTTCAAGGGGTCCTGGAAGTCACAAAAAAATTCTTGCAGCTTGAATTACTTTGAGCACAAAGTACTCACTAAATCTCATAATTACCTGCTCAATTGTAATCTTCTATAATCTAGAATTATCTGCTGAGGCTCTTCAGAAAGGGGAAGTATAATTTCATACTTATTGTGTAACGTTGTTGAGCTGGCTGAATGTAATACTGAGAGACTCGTTTTCTCCTGACTATGAAATGACGAGAAGTGTGACAAGTCACACATGGTAAGAAACGTGTGCTGCGAGTACATTTAAGGCACAGAGTTCTGGCAGTTAAAATTGTCAGACCTCCGTGAAAGAAGGAGAGAGAGTGCGCATCAATGAAGAACAACAGTTCAGAGAAACGCTGCATATTGAAGGTACAAGGCCATGTTGGGGTTTTTCCATTCAGCATTGCTGCCTGTTGTAGTGTGATCAGTCAAGCGCTTACGCCAGCCCTGTGGCAGGATTGACAGCTGTCTGAGTTGATTACAGGTGCTTATAATCAATGGAGGGAGCGGCTGGTGTTTAATTTTGATTGGGTGAAACGTGAAGGTCCTAGTAACCTCTTGTTGCCAGATTGTGCCATGCTGGCTACACCTGTGTGTTTGAACGTGTATCTGGGATATACCTAAATACACAGTGTCACCCCATACCCAGTAATGACATACCATCACTGTCAAATCTTTCATCTCGTAAAAGTCTTTGCAACTGATGTCATAGTTGAAGAATAGATTTACCCTTCTAACATCTAGCTTGAATATGGAGATGCTTTCAAATATGTGTATCTCTCTCATTCGATATATACATACACCCTAAAACCCAGCTTTACATATGATGAAAGAAGACTGAAAGGATGGATTATTTTTGGCTCAACGGCTCTTGGTTGAGAAACAAACGCGTAATACAACATGATGAAGATAACCGTGCACCCCTGCCAGCCAGAGGAAAACAAAGCGAGAGAAATTCTAGTAGTATTTTGCCCCTTACTTGAGACTCTGCAGTGATTGCTGGGGCTGACCGGGTTGTACCCTTTTATGCTTTAGTTTTTCAGCAGGTTGTGTGGCTCTGCCAGCTCTCATTAACATCAAAGCTGTCATAGAACAGAGGCAGTGCACAGGAGTGTGGAACCAGAAGGATGAGTTGCCTGTAAGTAACCGTTTTGTCCTCCTCTCTCGGTCGTCTTGAAAGTTCATTTGACACCATTACATTTGTGAAGGAAGGTTTTTTTTAAAAAAAAAAACAGAAGAAAGGTTAATAATAAAATAATTTATGGCTACTCATAATTTAGTGGTTAACCTAAAATAAAATTCACAGTGGAGGTCGAAAAAGTATATTTGCAGTGTGTAATGTATAGGATGGGTAGAAAAAGCCTGCCAAGCACTCTACTGCGGAAGTCTTGATTGGGAATTGAGACGTTCAGTATGTAGCTGTAGAAATGCAATATTAGCTCTCCCTTAACAATAAGATGTTGATTTCATCCTAAAGATTTTTTTTCTCTTACATAAACAGATTGAAGTTGACCTGGGTAAAAAATGCTGGTATCACTCGGTCTTTGCCTGCCCTATTCTTCGACAGCAGACAACAGATAGTAATCCCCCTATGAAGCTGGTGTGTGGCCACATCATTTCCAGAGATGCTTTAAATAAAATGATCAATGGAAGCAAGTAAGTTCCTTTTCTGTAACAATTCCTATAACAAGAGTGCTGTGAAACTGCAGTACTTTCAGCATAAATGCGTAGGAACTATACTATACATAACATGAACCATCCAGTACATATACATTCAATTAGCTCATTATTAGAAAAGATGAAAACCCACGTCAACAAATATAAAAGAAATTCAAAGTAAATAAGTAGTTTCTTTTTGAGCTTTGTTAGTGCTCTGTCAAAGTGATTATTTTATTATACTTTACTCAAACTGCATGTAGTTGTTTGACTCTCCATTGTATTGTGAATCTTTTAGTGTATTCAGAAAAGAAAACTGTTGTGTGTCATTGGCAGCTTGATTATTGAATGTAAACAGGTGTTCGGTTTTAGCAAATGCACAATCTAAATATTTCTTTTTTAGGAATCATTCTGACATAGATCTGTGTGCATCATTTTTGAGGCGTAATATAGACCTGGTATTGCAACTAACACCAGGATTGTAAAAATGTGTTATTTTTATTGTGAATGGGTTTCTGTTTTTGCAGCTTGCTGCATTTCAATATGTGGTTTCGTTAAAGTCTCCACCCTGCTCTGCTGAAATGCACAGCATGTGGAACCATAAACCTCAAAACCGGTGATAACTTTGGTATTCTTTTGGTGCTGCCTCAGAGTTATTGTTCATTGTTTGCACAATCTGTGGACAGACTACAGTGTTCAGATTAAGTTCAGTCCGTAAGAGCAGTATAATCTTTGGCAATACGGACACGTTGACATTATCCTTTGTCCGACACTCTGACTTGGTCAGATTTTCAGGACACTGCGTTGTATATTGCATGGTCCAGACATTCTGACTATGCAATATACAACATTTTCTGACTCCTGTAAACGATCTTAATGACAAATGTGTCTACTACACATAGTATCTGATGTCATAAAATGTAAAAGACTGTAACAGTGTGGTTATTACAACAATAGTGAGTTTTTCCTTCTGACAGGTGAAAAAGAAGTGAACCAATGATTGCCACGACTGTATGTGATGTAGAACTGGCAAACAGCTAATGTGTACGGCACCTATATTATGACAGTAAATGCAGTCATAAAATCTTTTTTTGTTTTTTTTATCATTCTAGGTTGAAATGCCCTTACTGCCCCATGGAACAAGTGCCAGGAGACGCAAAGCAAATCTACTTCTGAAATGTGGTCTCAATCAATGCCTACCTGAGGAATCAATGCCTACCTTTTGCTCTCTCGGCCATTAACTTGAGTGAGACAAATAGCACTGCTATGGAGAGGCTGAAGGCATGTGCAGAAATAAATGTAGCTGTCTGGGAAGGGTGCCAATACCGTATATAGAAACACTGACACAGTGCAAAAGCTAGAAAGAAACTTAGAGACAATATAGGGCTTTTTCTTGGTCTCAAGTAACCTGATAAACCTAATACACCAGCACTCACTATTGACAGCAGTTATTTCTATGTTAAATCTTTTTTAAGTAACATAGCCAACCAACTTTTTTATCATCATATTGATAAGTTTGTATGTCATCTTTTGAGGATGTTGGTGTGGAACTTTTTGTTTTTGATTTTTTCTTTTATCCAAAATGTATATAATATCTAGAAGATAACGGAGGTGTACGCAGCTGCTGCTGCCAAAGTTTGCATTACTGTTTTCTAGTGATGGCGAGCTGTGAAATACTTCTTTAAAACCTGTACAGAACCAAGTGAATAATGGAGCCCCCTGGGCTTTAGATATTTAAACGTATTGCTAATTTATATGATTGTATGCAGTTTATAATATTGGAGAAGAGTGGCACGTAATGTTTCTTTGCTTTGATAATTGTTTTTTTTTCTGTAATGCCATCTCTATTAAAGCTCTAATTTTGAAAAATGTCACGAGTGAACTTCAGTTTTCTTCTCGTAATGGCGGTTCTAAATCTCACAAAGAAAAAATACTTTATTTTGATGTTTTTTAGCTGATCATTTTGTGCACAGCAACTCATCGTCGGTGTCCTGCGCAAAATTATGTTGTGTGTCTTTATGATCGACTTAATTCTAACATTACCATAGCCGAAGAAGGCTCCGCAGCCAAAATGTTGTTTCTTTTCTTCTTAGCATGGAATAAACCTTTACTTGTTCCTTCATTCAAATATTACTAGTCCAAAAAAGATATTAGAAATATTAATCTGTCTAGTTTATTTCTACTAGAATATATCCATTTGTTTTCTAATCAGTATATCCAGTACAGGTTTGGATGGGGGCTAATTTTATCCTGGCAAGCAATAGGCCCAAGGCAGATTACACCCTGAATGGGACACCAGTATATCTCGGGGCACACACTCACACCAAGGCCAGTTTTCCCAGAAGCCAATTCACCTACCGGTATGTCTTTGGACTATGGGAGGTATCCAGAGCACCTGGAGGAAACCCATGTGAAAATGGGGAGAACATATAAACTCCAAACAGAGGGCACCCCTGGAATTGCACCCAGGGCCTCAGTGCTACAAGGCAGCAATGCTTAACACAGTGCCACCGTGCCACCCTCAGTAATATGTGTAATGTACCATACATATGTATTGTAACGTGAGTGACTGAGGTTGGCACCATGATGTACAAAGAAATTACTTTTGATGTACAGAAAGCGCTACTCCCAAACCAAAGAGGTAATAAGAAAATAGGAAGTCTTCCTAGCTGCTTCCATTCTGGCACGAACACACACAGTTGACTGTGTTTCCTTCTGAGTCTTTTCGTTTCCTAGGCAACTGCATGGTCTCCTGCCTCTCCTGAAGATACGACCGCTGTTAACCCGGGTTGTCTCTGCCAAACGTTAACCTGCTACAGTATGGTTTATATTTGAATGTACAAAGGCTAAAGTAGTTTCACGAGGAACCTACTGAGCACATCCTTAGTGCAATTTGTTTTCACAGCTCTCCCACATCCATTGGACTGTACACTAAGTTATATCTTCGCTTTTAAAGGAGTGGTACCGTTGGGATTTTCTAAGACTAACCTTCACACTAAGCTTAGTCATAACCTTATAACAGGTGATAACTTCAGGAATCACTCAAAAGCAATTAAGTGAAACTATATTGGAATAGACAACTATTGACTCGCCAAACAGCTGGCCTTTGCTCTTGTCATACACAGACAAAAAGACGATGACATTGAATCCAATGTGATTTGAAGTAATTTGTAGTAGTTGTTTTTGCAGGATACCAAAGTTTGATGTATTAAGATTGTCATTTCCTGCTTGCAGTGTACCTAAAAAATAACACCTCTCAAGCCTAGTAGACCACAACACATTCTGCAAACCATATTCTCAGAGAGTACAATGGTGCAAACAGAATTGTAGACTATGTTTACTATAAAAACGTACTCTGTAACAAACATTCATGCTTCTGCTTCCTAAAATGAGTTTATCTTTTTCACAACCGAAGTGTTTATCTCAGAATGACTCAGGGAGTGCACAACTTGCCTGTTATTAAAACCGTGGTATTAAAAAACTCTCCAAAGTAGTGTATTACAAAGTATCATAACACTAAAAAACTTTTGAAAATAAAATATGTATTCGCTTTTGTCTGCTTAAGCGCATTTTATGAACATTTCAAATAAAAAGATGAAAACCCACAAACAGAAAACCATATTAGGACAGGAAACCTCAAAGCATTTTCAATCTATACACAAAGAAAGCCATCACATTTTACCATGGAGATGAATGTCATTTTTTGATGCACAGAAGACAGTCCCACTTTGTAAAAAGTTCCCATGAAACCCAACTCTTTACTTGAGCCAATGATTGAAAAAAAGCTTTTCCTTGGAAAACACTTTAGCAAGATGAAAGCTCTCAGCGGGGCTGTAAAGACCCAGATTCTTCTCATCAGACATGAGAGCTGGCCACCTGGTGCTGTGTTCCTCCAGGTCTGAGTGAGATAGACGTGGCCCCAGCTGTTGCATTCTGGGCTTCTTTCTTTTGCGAAAAGGAGAAAATGGTGATTAACTTTTTCCTCAGGTCCTTCCGTACAAATATGTACATTACTGGGTCTAGCACACTGTTTAGGCTGAGTAATCCCATAGCCACCTGGAAATAAATGAAGATTCTGGATTCGTAATCACAACTGTCCTGGAGTGTGAGTATCCCAATGTAGGCTACATAGCACATGAAATGGAAGGGCCCAAACACCAGCACAAACATAACTATGATGAGAGTTAGCATGAGCAGGATTTTTCTCTTCTCCTTGTCCCGTATGGATGTCACATTAACAATATTCTTCTGAATGCCCCGGTAGATAGACAAAAGAAAACACAATGGCAGGACAAAGGTGATAGTCATGGCAATAAGCTGGAACTGTGCAAAGTCTTTCTCGGTTGGGTAGGTTTCCATGCAACGATCAAGAGGTGCACTTTCAAAGCCGAGGCCAATGCCTACAGAGCTGCAGATAGTGACAAACACCCACAGGAAAGCACAGAAGATACAAGAGTTCCTGACCCTGATGTGCTTTTGAAATAACAAAGGATGTGTAACTGCCATGTACCTCTCCAGGAAAATGCAGCACATGAAGAAGATGCTGACAAAAAGGCTGATCCAGAAAATGCAGCCAATGACTCTGCAGGCAGCCTCCCCAAAACGCCACTTGTGGTCATTGCTGAAGTAGTCAATCCAAAGAGGTAAGGTTAAAATTTGGAGTAGATCAGAGAGGAGCAGGTTGATGACAAACACAGGGAGGATGTCCCCAGCCTTCAGGAGGCCGTGGAGGCCAAAAAGAGCAAGACAATTAAGGGGAAGCCCAACGCAGAAGACACAGCTGTACAACAAGGAGAGGAAGAGTGTGTCAGAGGAGAAATCGATATTGTCACAGAAGCTGGAGTTATTTCTGTTGCTCATTTTCTTTGAATGCAAGAAGGCGCAGAGTTTGAGACTTCACAGTAAATTCAAAGATGGATACAGTGCTCTATGAAGTTCCTAACAGGTCTTCCGCAGAGTTGAAGAGAAATCTGCAAAGAAAAAAACAGGAAAATACAAATATCAAGATTGTGATCAACCAATAACTGAGCACATAGCATGCGGGGTCTCTTAAAAAAATATACTGTAGGTACTAATTTCCACTAGCGATTTTCCTTTTGCCAAGTCATTCAAGGACATCGACCTACGCATGCACAAGTAATGTCGTCTCAGTTCTTTTCTCCTTTTTTAAATTGCTCATTTGTAAATGCCACACCAAAACAAGAAGGGGAAAACCTAAGCTTTATACATTAAACAAGTACATTGTTTAACAACATGAGAGAAACCATGACTAGTCTGCCCACATAACTGAGGAAGAAAGAAAGCAGAAGATGGGGTCAATGAGAGCAAAGAGGGGTCTATACAAACATATAGAAGAAAGAGACTGCCACTCCACGAGTAAAGTCAAAGCACAAAAAGGTTACAAATGAAATGGTGCCATTTGGCCCACTTACATCATTTTCTATAGGCTACAGGACACATGTCCTCTGCGCTACATGTGGTTGACATGACATTGTACTCTTTGCAGGCTCAGTACTTCTCAGCAAGAAGGTCCTGTTATAGACAGAGTAGGGAGAGGAAGATTGTCTCTTGTTCTGTCACTGTTCAGTGCTGTTCAGATTGTTGTAACAGGGCCATCCACTGAGATTACTCAAAATGGTGGTCACTGATGCAGAAGGAACTCCAGCCACATCCCATGTGGCTTACACCATGAGCTCTCTAAAGTGGAAGTGCCTTTGAAACTAACAACAGGGGGCACTTTTTACACTAAGGGTTGTGGGAGCCTGAACACACTACCTAGCCAGATGGATAAAATCCTAAAATCTGGGTACCGAAATAATCTGAGCTAGGCTGTCTCATTGCCTGCTCTCGTCTTTAACTGGTATTGAATTGTACTTGTAATGAAATGCTGGTTCTGAAATATCTCGACCATCTTCACAATTCTTGTATCAAATGTCTGACAACATCTTAAACAATAGCATCTCTGATCATGCCAGGCAGTTTCTGGAATTCGTTCAGCTCTGCTCTTGCCAGGAGTCAGTCATGGCCTCTCAGAATACTAAACTTTATTTTTCTTAACAAATTTCAAATTAATTGAAGAAGTTTGAATATGTAGCTGCAAAGAAAAAAGGTTTATTCCATGCTGAAAGGGAAAGAAAAGAGATACAGCTTTTCAGCTGTGGAGCCTTCTTCGGGTGTGAGGGAGAGAGGTAAACAGCAGAGAAATTAAGCTTGGAAGAACAAAAGACAGAGTAAGTAAGAAAGGGTGAGGAACAGTGAGGAAATGGGCATACAGTATAACAGATGAGAAGGAGTGTCCAAATTCAGGGAGAACTGGAGAAGTGTGAAGCCAAAATCTGCAAATGAATAGAGAGGATTAAGAAGGAGATGAGTCTGTCATTGAGGAAGGGGAAAGGGGAAAGCTGTGATCCAAGTTTCAGGATAATTGTTTGTTTTTGGATGTCTTTCTGCATAGGAGTTCTAAATAGGAGTTCCAATATCCCTCTGCCAGGATGCAGATATAGAGATCAGCAAGACTGTTGCCATTAGAGGTGAAATGGGGAGCTGTATTGTTTGGAAAGATCTTCGATCTTCACAGCTCTGACATGTTCCCTGACACGGTCTGCCAGTTACCTTCCTGTCTCACCAAAAATAAATAGCTCGGCCTTTCTCTGCATTAGATGCAATAAATGAGGTTACTGGAAGAAATACACACTTTTAAAATTAACTTCACAAAGTGTTTCACAGGAAAAGTAAAAAAAACAACCAGTTAAAATTAAGAATAAAACCCACAGTTAACAGAGATAGGAGATAAAATAAGCAGAAGGAGCCACAAATTTATCATAAATGGATTAGAAGATGCAAGGAGCAGACACCAGTTAAATAAAGGGCTTTCTGGAGAAGAGGGTTTTTAGCCTGGATTTGAAAGCGCTCAGTAAAGGTGACTCCTCGGACACCCTTGGGGATTGAATTCCAGAGCTCTGGGATGTAGCAGCCGAAGGCCCCTTCACCCATAGTACTGTATGTAAACAAACCTGGGAGACAAACCGGAGACAAACCTGGGAGACAATCAAGAATTGTTCTGCTGTTCGTCTGGCAGTATCTCCTTCACCGAATTTAACTTCACAGGTATTTCGAGACTGCTGTCAAACCCAACATTCATTTTTGTTGCTTTCTTCCTGTGCACATTTCACATTTGTGTTTCTGCACTTCAAAATTGTGTACTCATCCATGCCACAGTAACTGTAAACTGTGATCATTCTCAATAATGTGCAACTAAAGTGACTCATAGAAATGTTGTACATTGATTGATAAAAACATTAGTCAAAGTAAGAAATGTATTTTATGGGCTCAAAATTAAATTGACCATTTACTTTGCTTAATTTACTCTTCCAAAGAAACAAAATGGGCACATTTTTAGACCTATGCAGTTTTGAAATTCCAGTACTACCCTTTTTATTATTGGGAAGAAACATTAATGTGCATCTTATTATTTTGCTAACTTAGCACAAAACTGAAACAAACAAAACTACCTAAATCAAAGCTGAAATGATATATAAATAAAAAAACAATAAATAAAAACTTTCTCTGTGTTAGATAGCCTAGTTAAAACCACAGTGCATACTGTATATAGAAATGGCTTTTAAATAGTTTACAATGTAGGTAGTGAAAACAAATATTCTTACCTCTGGACATTTAAATGGTTTAGCTCTATGCGTGTGTTTTCTCTCTTCTGTCCTGGTGGTAAGGTCTTGGTCAGGAAGTCACTGCTCAATGTATAATGAAACTGAGGCATGTTAAAAAAAGATGCAGGGTGTATGTTATAGTGCCACAGTAGGTTTCTGTACACATTTACGTTGGTACACATTACTAGGTGTTGTACAAATAGGATTATTTAGAACACTGTGTTGTTTAAGAGAGGAGTTTTACAGAGGGCAGCAGTGGTGAATCCAGTTTATGCAATACCTGGCTAATGAAAAAAAAACGCTCATTCACACATTTCATTTTTGACTCTACTGGAGGAACTCTACATGGTTTAGTCTGTGTTTGCATGGATTTGGAGTCCTTGGAACGGATGAGCATTGAGAGGAACACGAGGCAAGACTGCGCCCACTGCTCTACATCTGCTCCTTGTGTGAGTGGTCTGCTCACAAAGGTCTGCTGGGAGCAACCTTTAGCAGCAGGGTGGTGTTGCTTTGTGAGCTAAGAGGCTTGAGTGTTACTCCTTGCATGGGAAGTAATGCAAAATGAAGCTAACTGGCTAAAACCAAAGTCTAGACAACTGTGATTGCAAATAACTTGATCAAAGCACAGATAGCAGTCAATAAAACTGAACTAGTAACATCTTTCACGTACTGTGGCTACAACCTACACCGTACTTGCAGAAGCGAGACAAGTATCAGCTGCATCTGCTTGAAACAGATATGTTTCCACAGAGATATGTATCGCAGCAGAATTAAAGAGCTATAATGTGGCCATTCCCCTTGCGCTGTTTTACAGGTCTGAGATGTTGGAAATCGGGCTCTTTTGATCAATGGCACTCACAATGGATACTTAGTGTTCATTTCATTGAGTGTATTATCAACGCTGAGATCTGCTGTTGAACAGTGTCCACAGCAGTCAAGACTGGGGGGCTGTTGTTATTTGGTCATGTTGCAAGGATGGACATCTTGGTCAATCACTCCAGAGCCCAGGATGGGATCATCAAGGGCCTGTCGTAAGCTGGAGCCATGGCTGACGAGGGCGTGCACCTCTGAAGCCGGTTGCAGACTTTATAATCTTGACCGGTGCACTGGCCATTATATGCAAACTTACAGTTAATAGTCTCCCTGATACCGGTTGCAGTACACCCATTTTTGTCACTCTGTGACCCAAACATATATAAGTTTTAAACACATCTTTTTAAAACCCAGCTGGAATTTCATTTCTGAGTTTATATTTTTTGACGTTGTTATTGTCAGCCATTTTCCCCTGTGTCAGTCGTGACCTCTTTCCGGTTGCAAGCATTTTTCTAACATAATTTTTTGCTTGTTGTCCCAAAGAGGACTCTAAAGATCCCAACAAAGAAAACAAGGTCTCAGTTTCCTCATGGACTATAAATTTGTGTTTCTGCTACATCACTTACGGTGAAAGCTTGCCTTGCTAGACACCTGCCTTTTTCACTGAATTGTCTATAAAAGGAATCCAGTAACCTACAATTTACATATAACAGCCATATAACCTAAGTGTAGCACTTAAAATGGTTACTGAAGGTCTTTCCTATTGGTTGTTCGCAGAAATGAGCAAATAAAGTTCCCTATTGTAATAGTTCCCCTTGGTGGAAACAATTAAAAGAGTAAAATAAAATGCGTAATGACAATAGGTCTGTTTCTGTCTCGAGTGTTCTTTGATTGCTCGGTTTACACATTTTATGCAGATTCATTATAGTTGTTGTAAACCCCGTTTATGAATATCACATTAACTCAAAGAAACCTAAATAAACCAAGTACAGCAGGTGTTCTGGGTCTCTATCTAAAGTATCAGTACTTGAACTGGGAGAAGCTCTCAAACTGGTCCAGTTAAGCAAATACGGTAACGATCCATTCAGGTCATTGTGAGTCCTACTGGAGTGTGAAGCTGCAAACACAGGACTGGGAATGGGGTCCCTTGTTTTACAGCAAGCAATCAAGTCTTCTAGGATCAGAAAGTAAAAGTTTGTGAACAAAAAAAAAACCTGCATTGTTCACAATATGCATATACACCTGAATCAAAAACTTGAAAGCATGTTGTCCCAATAAAAGATTTTTCACAAAAGCTATCTGTCATCTGTACAGCAGTAAGAGTCAGGCTACAGCTTCCATTGTCTATATATAAACAACTGTGATGCCTGTTTGGTTTGTCTGCTACAGGCAAAGTTTGTTCCTAAAATTATACCATCTTAACCCCAGGCAAAGTGAATTAATTCAAAGAGACTTACAAGACTCTGGTACAGCTTTGTTCTAAAAAACGTTAACAGCATTCTGGTTTCTTTCACTCTGTGTCTTTATATGGCTATAAACAGAAGATCTCCATTTTTGGTAACTTCGCTCAGGGGACCTTTCCACACTTCACTCCCTAAGAACAGCTGCAATTTTAAGTTCATGTTTCATGACTATTTGAAAAGGTTTTTAATAAAATCAAATTCATTCCATGAAAAGTGACGTCTACTCATTGTGACCATCGGTTGATTCTGATGAAAATAAACTTCTACTCCCTGTGCTCTGGTTTCTTCCAGGGTTTCTTTTTGCGTTGGCCTGGTGTCCTGTCCAGGGTGTCCGCCACCTTATGTCCATTTATAGGATAGTATCCAGCTCCCCTGTATAGCATATAACAGCTGGAAAATGGATGAACTTCTGCTCCAAACTAACAAGAGTATTGGAGATGGTAGTTTTACCAAAACCTCTCAACTACTATTATTATTATTATTACGTCACTGCAACAAACTGTTTACAGAATTCCATATACAGTACCTCCAAACTGTTACTCTTTTCATGAACTACAACTGCACCACACTACTACACGGCTACAGCACAACGATGCTCCCCAATCTCTTTCCTACTGCTCTCCAAACTAGATTTAAAATCTGAGATTCCATTGTAACACCCTTATTTATATAATAAATCCTACTAATTAAACCCATGCAAGAAAGCGCACATTTCAATCAATTGCACAATCGGTGACGACAGGTGAGACTATTTTTACATCTTTGGAAACTTATCCCCGCCTTTGAGCGCAGGTTTAGCGCCCTTTAGTGGCAGACCCATGAATATTTCTGTCCCTGAAGAGGAGCCTCAGGAAGAGACAACACTAAACCTAGATTAAATAAACCTAATTTAATTCTATTCAGTCTATGTTTTACTATTTTTTACTGTGGCATACATGGGGAATTGCGATTTTGTAAAACATTAACTATTCATTAATTATTCAATTCAAATTAACACAAACATTATACTTTTTAGGTATTAGAAATTTAGGATGAAACAAGGATTGTGGAGACCGGCAGGAGTTTATAAAAAGCAGAGAATTAGGTTTGTGATTGCTGAAGCAGAACCGCCCCCTCGTGGCCAAGAGTAGGACTGCACATGTCCGGTAATTTCATATTTTATTACTTACAGTTCCTTTTAAAAAACAGTCTCTTAAGAACAAGAAAGGGCTCCGATTTTATCAATTAAGAGAGTAATGAGTTCAATTAGGTAATTAAGCTTATATACTAACATTCCCTTCCCAACAGACTCACTCTCTCTGAAATGTAGTTTCAGTTAAGCAGTAAACTCGTTTGGCCATGTTGTTCAGGATGTTAATAATAATAATAATA